GACCATGCCGGATTTTATATGAAAAACATAAAAATATTAGCCCTTTAATATTGTAATTATTATCACTCTATATGTCCGTTGAGCAATCTTAGAACTAATATAATCTATTATGCCCCACTAGCTATCAAAGTCAAATAAAATTATAAATCTAAGATTTAACGATGCTCGGTACCAATACTCCATAAAAATGGCGGTTTTCATGTTTAACACCCCGCAACAAGAAAAACTTACACTAGTAATGAACTCTCCAACCATTTTTGATTTTGAAACATGTATGTTTACGTTTTAATTTTCCAGCGCCAGCCTCTTTTAGCCCCCACCTAAAAATCATTTAATTAAAGGCATTTAACTATAGCGAGTGTTCGCTCTATTCGCTGGAAGATACTTTCATCTATTCATTTAACTGTGTCTTTAACTCTTTCAATAAAACAATTGGTCTCATTCGCCTAAAAATAGACATACTTTCAATAAAAGAAGCACGATGCGGCTGGATGTTACATGAATAGTGTTTCAAATAATAGGACCTTTGGGCATTAGCTGTTGAACGAACACACTGTTTGAACGCTGTCCTGAGTATTGATTAGTTGAATTCCCAACGGTATCAAACTTTGGAATCCCAAAGCGAAAGTAAACAGTTCCTTTGATAAAACAATTTTCATATGCCAATAGGACTTGTATTCTTGTTATCCTCTTACCTAAATTAGATATTTTAATACTAGGTACATTCTTAGTTACTCATTGCTTACAATGTTTCTCACAGTTTTATCGCACGAGGTTTTAAATATAACATTTATGGCCAATGGTCACAATGCTCTCTTAGTCAGAACGAAACGAATTCAATAAATGTTTGTTTCATGATTCATCATTGCACTTCGCTGTGCCGGTGCATGCCTATCGCACTTTCCGTGTAGTACTGCAGACCTTATGAACAATATTAGGTATTTGTATAATAAGTACACATTGTCTATTATATAGTTGCGTGGCTTTGATTACATCTCGGCAGATAGGAATCATTAGGTAGTTTGATCATTCAATAGCACACTGTTCAATAAAAGTTCAACATAATAATCATAGGTATTGAATACCGACTTAATAAATACAGGTTAAGCAATATTCAAATAAATAACTTCTATAATCATCATTCGATGTTTGCTTCATTAATTTGTTTTCAATTTTAACATTTGAATATCAATTTGCATAAATTATGTGGACTTTCTAGAAGAACTTACAACCTTAAAGACGATATTCCCTTTTGAACTGAATAAAGAATTTTCAATAGTGTAATAAAGTGTAAAGCATACTTTAAAGAACAATAATGTTATTAATAAACTCTTATATCTCGCTAAAAAGATACCCAAACCACGAAAGAAAACTATCATTCGTATCAATCACAAACAATTAGATGCAGATATAGAACGTATTGATTTTGAGCCAATATATAAAACCCAAAACCCTAACCTAGCTACAGATTTAATTATTAGTGCAATTACACAGGCCATTGAGTTAAATTCAAAAGTAATCAAAGTTCCAAACCGTAAAAAAATGGTGAAAGACTGGATGATCCCGGGCTTTTTACGTTGTATACGGCATCGAGATCGTTTAAATCTAAAATCAAAAAATGAACCAAATAATTTAATCCTCAAAACAACTTACACAAGGTACAGGAATTACTGTAACAAATTAATTAAACAAGCCAAGATTATCTATGATAAAGCTTGCATTACTAATGCAGGCAATGACACCAAGCAATTGTGGACAGCCATCAACACCATCACAAATAGACTCAAATCAAGAGACTCCAGAGAAGAACTGCTCACTATATCTCCTATACCAGCACAATCTGTTAACCAAATAAATAATTTCTTTACCGACATTGGAAAAAATCTTGTTGAAAACATCGGTAACTTAACAACTAGGCAACCTTCGGCTATCACTGTCAATACCTCACACTCTATGTGTCTTCTTCCGACGGATGAGGTGGAGGTTGCAGAAATAATCATTGCCCTTCGTAGTGAATGTGCTGCAGGAAGGGATAAAATACCTAGCACACTATTAAAAAAACACATTGCCTTGCTTGTTCCGCCACTAACTTATATCTGCAATCTTTCGCTACATACTGGACAATTCCCCAAGGCTTTGAAAAAATCTATCATCCACCCTCTCTTTAAGAATGGGGACAGAAGCAGTGTCAGCAACTATAGACCTATAGCGGTATTGCCAACCCTATCTAAGGTACTAGAACGAATTATGAGCCGCAGACTCGTCGACTACCTGACCAAGAACAATATCATCTCACCGTCTCAATATGGCTTCAGATCTGGCAGGTCAACGTCCGATGCGGTTCATGAACTCACAAATTATATTATAACCAACCTAGATAGAGGCCAAAAGGTCATAGGAAACTTCCTAGATCTCACCAAAGCCTTTGACACGGTTTCTGTCCCCATACTCATAGAGAAAATGGAACGCCTTGGAATTAGAGGTTTACACTTAGGCTGTTCGAGGACTACCTTAGTGAGCGAACCCAGTGCGTTAGGGTTGATGAGTTCATCAGTGAGGAGAGGATAGTTACATACGGAGTGGCTCAAGGTAGCGTGATTGGCCCGACCCTCTTCCTAATCTACATAAACGACCTGGGTCTGCTCACTTTACCAAATGGTAAAGTAATTACTTTCGCAGATGACACTGCCCTCCTATTCAATGCTGACACATGGAGTGACGCCTATAAACACGCGCAATCTGGGTGTAATGTCGTAAGCGATTGGTTGCGAAATAATATACTTACCCTAAATGCGACTAAAACACAATATGTCACTTTTTCAATAACACATAAGACCGCACCGAACTTACCAATGCCACACTCGATCATAGCCCACTCGTGTCCTAGTCCTCACAATGTTACGTGCTCTTGCGTACACCTTCAGAAAGCCGATGCGGTGAAATATCTTGAAGTAATAATGAACAGTCGCCTTCGTTTCCATGAGCATATATCTACCCTCAGTGGCAGGATGCGCAAACTAATCTACGTCTTCAAGAACCTAAGGCAAGTGGCTGATGATAAGTTGAGGCGATCCGTTTATTTTGCCCTTGCTCAATCGCTTCTGACGTACTGCATCACAACCTGGGGTGGTGCTCCAAGGAGCACTCTTCAAGAGCTAGAAAGAGCCCAAAGGGCAGTACTAAAGGTTTCTTTGAGCCTACCGTTCAGATATCCTACTTCTCTCTTATACAAAAAAGCTAAAGTTCTAACGGTAAGACAGTTGTTTATTAAGCAGATAATCCTAATGCAGCACAGTAAACTGGAATATGATTCTTCTCTTTCCCGTGGCAAAAGGTGATACAATCATGTATTCAAAACGCTACTTTTGTTACTTGGGACCATACCCAAAAGATTTTATTAATTTTGTATACAACAAAATTAATAAAATCTTGTCAATTTACGAAATGCAAAAAAAAAATGTAAGATGAAATTAACTGCTCTCAGATCTAACTTACGACGACACTGAAAAGATCCTACACCCACTATTATGAACACACACACCTACACACACACACACACACACAATAATAATAGTTCGACCGCAACTAATTGTCAAAGCGCTGATACTAACAGATATGTATACAATTAAGAAGGGGACCCTGGTGTCCTGAAATACAGGCTCTGAGCCTAGCTTAGGCACCAGTCTCCCACAGTATAAAATTCTGTAATAATTCTTATACAGGCTAAAATTATGTATAAATGTATTGTGGCGAGAAAATAAACAATTTATTATTATTATTTATTATTATTAGTATAGTATAAAAATATTTTATTTCTAATAAGTTTCTTAAATAGTGTAAATAAAGTAAAAATAATTTAAGGTAAACTTAAAACGCCTCCCAAAATGTAATAGCAATCTTTTGTCAGGCATCAAACTAATATGATTTTATTTAACATTTTTTTTATTTTAAGCTTAGTCAAACCCTTAATTCTATAATAATGTTAGTTATTGAATTAATTAGGCAAACAAACATTTCTTTACAAAGTACTTATAACTAATATTGTTGCAACAGCTGAAACGAAGAGGCGTCGTCGGGGGAGAAGCTGTTATCTTTTCGTGCAAATATCTGCGAGGACAATGAAGTGTTGCAGTTTGGCAAGAGTCCCGGCGACAGTTATCGAAGGCGTGTGGGAAAGTATCCACATGCACTGAGACTTGCTGGGAGCGTTGGACTACTCACCGAGCTTGTAGAGCAATATGACAAAACAATAGTGTCAACCGTTTAGGGTTTAGGCTACATTACCTTGTATACCGCGATACATAGGAATGCTGGAATGTTGTGTCACGAATTGAAGTGAAATTCTCTTTTGTCTGACTGTAATACTGACACCGATTTGTTTTAGATTTCCAATATTCCATTACGATCGAAGGTTCTTGATTAAAAAACTTAGAAAGCTATTTTTAACCTACTTAAAAAAGGAGGAGGTTCACAATTCGTCGAAATCTTTTTTTATGTATGTTCACCGATTACTCGAATACGCCTGAACCGATTTGGAAAATTCTTTTTTTGTTTTATAAGGTATGCTAGGAAGTATTACTTTTTAAAACAAACAAACAAAGAAACAACATTTTTTGAAAAATGAACAACAATCTAAAAATTGTATACATCGATTATTTTTACATACATATTTTTATGAACGGGCATTACTCCGTCATATATAGACAGATTTACTAAATTCTTTTCTGTTGGAAAGGAGCTTGTTCCGAAATAGTCCCATATAAATTTCATATAGATCTAATGATGGGTTTCGGAGATAGACAACGGAACTCTTCAAAAAATGACAGCAAATCAACGGGGGGTTATCCGCATATCAGAACTGATAGTCCAAGCCATGTTGTTGTATTGTAAAAGCTTTGGTTGAATAGTGGCTGTGTTATATTAATTTATTTACAGCTTCTAGTAATTTCGAAAGTATTACAATATAACTTAAGTTAAATATATATCTCTTCATATTAGTTTTAACTCCGACAAGCCTTAGGTTTAGGATTGAGAATTCGACAGACAGTACCGAGTAAATCTGATGAAGCTTCATCTTGATGTTGTGTGGATCCATTTATCATCAAGTAAGGTACGTATGAAGGGCTGAGCTCATGTGTTGCGTCTCCATATTTCTTAAGAAGAATGTTGCCGCGTAAACCTTTCACGCATTTCCAAATTTCGGCAATGTGTACTTTTTCTGTATAGCCACACTAAAAAGAAAAATATAAAGAAAATTACAGTATTTTCAAACTAGATTGTTGCGATTGCAAATATTATTTATGTGTAGAGTTTTTAACCGACTTCAAAAACACAAAAGAGGAGGTTCTCAATTCGACTATTTCCTTTTCAGTGTTTGTTATGGGATATCTACGTCAATTGTGGACCGATTTTCGAAATATTTTTGTTATCGAAAGGGTTATATAGGGTTATATACTATTAGGGTATTATTTTTATTAAGGGCATATATTCCGAGGTGGTCCCATTACCACCAAATCAGGATCTGATGATGAGATCCCAGAGAAATCGAGGGGAACCCTCAAATTTTAAAGGTACGACAACGTATTTTGGCTTGTTTCTCTACCTATACGTGTATTTGCGTTTGGTAGTCGTTATCTCATGTTGCAGAGCTGATGATGGAAGGGTCCTTGACCTTTAGGAGTTAGAGACAGCGTACAATGGATTACCGTGCGGGTGCCGGGTCCATCGCGTGGTAGGTGAGGGCAACCACTATATTTGATACGAGCCTAGCAATGCCGCTTTGGATATTCGTTGAAGAAGAGACTAAAACTCTTGGCAATCTAATGTTTTTAAGCAGCTTATAGAGGGATTCAGCTGGTTTATCCCTCCCACCCGCAATGAAATAACCAATTTTAGTTATTTCGTTTTTTAAGTCAAAGTAATTGTCATATGTATCTAGTCATTACAATCTTATCTTACACTAAATATTGTAGAATAAATCCTTCACTTCAAATAATACTAACAAAGAAAAAATAAAAAAATAATTACAAATCTGATTGAAAAATAAACAAAATAAGTACGACCCTCAAGATAACATTATAATGGCAATAGATACCTCCTAGTCTGTTTGAAGTCATACTAATACACATACTAAAATCTTCAGGATTGAAACTAAATATTTCCTCGTTTTAAATATCGTTCGTTTTGTTCCTTGTGTTTAACCTACCCTATACTGCCAGCTATTGATTTATTTGTACAAAAAAATCATAACACAACAACACAGTTCCGATGCAAGTAGACGCTTACTGTGACCAACGTTTTTAAATATTCATATAATATTTAATTCCATCAGTCCTATCGCTCACATGCACTATCATTGACGCAGCAAGTACTAAAGAGTGGCCCTAAATATCATTTTAAATATTTCTCCAGGAATATATGTATGTATAGATTCTGACAATTTTTTTTTGTGATCCTGAGAAGTATCTTAGATCAGTTTTTATTTAATTTTTGACTTACCCAGCTTACAACGGACACGAAGTAGTCATAGTTTGACTGGTAGGAGATGTACTGCATGAGGCAACTGTTAAAGAAGATAGAATGAGTGTTGTTACGTAGTACGTCGATGGCGCAGGCATGTACCATGTTTGCGAAGCACTCTCGCCTGCCATGCTGACAGTCGAAGAAGTAACGACCTCGGGAACGAAAAGTCTGGAAGTCGTAACAACATGTTAATTGCATACATATGAGTGCAAGAGCCATTAATCATGATTTTGACAAACCCGTAACTTCCGATTCATGTGGAAGAGACTACTCTTTAACATTAATCGGAAGTTACAGGTTTTTTATAGTTGACCGTATTTCATATTACACAGCGTGCGGTTTTAGTCGATTCGAATCCAAAAAACTCCGCAACGGTCGTCTGGACTGGGCTGGAGACTAATGAAAGTTTAGACATTCGTTCTTTAAATATCTCTCCAACGGGCAAACTATCGCACCATTTCTTTCACAATTTTGTGTTTAGTTCTTCTAAGTATAAGAGTTGTACTCATATACTTAATAAGATTTCTTTACTACATGTGTTTTAAACTTAGACTTCAAAATATTTAAGTAGCAACAAATTGCGCACAGAACTTTTTATTTTAAATATTACTTTATTACTGAATGGTCTCCATCCACTGGGGAGTATTGTTAAGGGTGACATTAACATATGTATGTGTTGATAATATATGATTAGACTAGTTGACATTTACATATTTTAAGGTATTGACACCCTAAATTGACTGCCACTGGTGCTCTTGACAGCAGGAATAGATTTACGTGTTCGGTGCATTTACACAGAGGGAGAATAATTTGTCTGATAGGTCGTATCTCTGTGTATCGCCATTCTAAATCTTATCTGTTCATCGCAAATTGTAGAATTTTTGATCAATTAATACTTATCCAATACAACAACACACAAACAAAGAACTAATTAAGTTTGAACTAATTTTCAAATTATAAGTGCTCTTGCTAGATGTTTACACAGACAGAACACATAAATCTGTAATCTGCCAAAGTATATTGGATTGATTACGTCGAAGTAGAATGAATGGAACTAACATTTTTATAACAGGAAAGACGCTATTAGTACGACGTGTATATAGCTAAGAACTAGCCATCACTTCGCCAGGGAAAAACCCAACTGACCTCAGTTGCATATGCGCACTCCCAACCAGAAAAATACGAAAACCGTAAACCACTACACAGAAAACTGACGAAGGCCACTTCTGTTGCACAATGTTAGTTCTCCTGTTCTAATCTGTTATTGTTTGAATCACTTAGAGTGAAACTAATTTAAGTAAAGTGTATTGTAATCTATTTTGTTAATGAAGAGGCATAGTTTTCAAAAGTTAATAACTTTATATAAGGTTTGAATTTCGTGTTGAACTACACCGTAACAGTTTAGGTAGCGTGTTTAATATAATAAAAAAAATAAATTTTATTTAACCGTAATGACAGAAGCTGCAATTGTTGGAGTACCTTAGCGTGCCCGTATGGTATTAAATGGACGTCCAAATGCTCTGTAAGCCTTTTCACAGTGGGCTTTAACTGTGTTACGAAGAAATCCACACTGGCTGGACAAAGAGTTTCGTAATATACTGTAAGCTCTACTTTATCATTTCTAGTGCTGACTGGTATCTGAAAAAAAAACAGAAGAATAAATAGTAAGAGAATAATTCGTTTTATAATTATAACATGGTGACTCAATCGTGAAGTGTTCTGCTTTATACTATACTATGAATTATTATAGTATTTGTTATGCATTTTATATCTTACTTACATTTACCGACTTTAGCAGACGCAGGACTATTAATGCACAGTACAGCTTAGCTTTTTTAAAAAACATTAAAGAACTTTGTCACAATCATTATCAATGCAAGCCTCTTGTATTCCAAGGTTCCTCGTGTCTGAATTAGGCAGATAGCCAGATATGACATAGTGATTGTGTGCCGTTTACGTTACTTACAAATTCCTAACAGTGCTTTCCTAATGAATGTGATATGAATAAGTGATACGTTTTTTTGAGCAATGTTTTAGCAAAATAGACCTAGTTTTGATTGTCAACGTTTTTATAATTTATTAATTTCTTTGATTATAAACATAAAATAAGAATAATGCTCTTTATACTGTAGGTGACAGAAAGTCCTTTATTAGAGTGGCACATGAAAACTTGTCTTTCAGTGAGGCCTAAACTCATCAAAGAAATTAACAAAACATTTTTGTCCACATCTTTTATTGTTGTGCAGACTAGAAGCCGTAATTAGTTAGATGTTACTTACTTCTGAAGTAATGGTCCCGGTTGTAGTTTGCTTAATAAATGTTGTAGACACTAAAATACAATACGAGCTATTAATGATACATAAACTATACAATAGATGTCACGATGGACACAAATATCAGAACATTCAAATTAACTTTTTAACACCAAAATCTTACCGGTATTTCTTAAGCCCCGGCTACATATTGCAGCACTAATGAGTATTTGGAATAGTAGCAATACTTTCTGAAACATTATTAAAGAATGCTAAACGGATACTAAATTTAAACTCTCAATTTAAACATAACTAACCAGCGCAGTTATTGTATTTATTAAATAGCCTATGACCATTACTGATAAGTTAAGAGATGATAACTAAAGATAATGTTTAATCACCTACATTATTTATCTAGTGTCTCCGTCTAGGCATAATTAAAAAGTCGATGGCCTTTACGCACTGACTGAATTTTACTTCCTTACATACAGTACAGTACTGTAAGTAAGATATTGATTTTATTACTCCCGTTAAGCTTACGTCTGGGCTGTTGAAATCTAAAAGAATATAGGTATATTAAACTATACAACTATACTTACAGTTTTCATTCCAATATCAAAAACTTAGTTCGAAAGTGTCTTGAGACCAGTGTTTTGTTAGTATCTGATTACTACTGTTAACTGTACAGACACCACCTCCTGGATACCAGTAATTACTTTTATCTCACTATAAACACGAGCTTAGTGCTCATATCTAAGTGGTAACCAAGCAGGTTGAAACATTGCTAAATTTGAGAAATCCTAGCCAAGTCAGTCTATGGAGAGGTGACCATTCATAACATATTGAGACCCCTCCGTGACTCGGAGAGCACGTTAAGCCGTCAGTCCCGGTTGCCATACGAACATCTATAATAATCATAAAAAGTCTGCCAACAATTTTTCTACAGAACTTCGATATTGCCTAGTACTTGGTTGTGGAGATGTGATGGCAGTCGCTCCGCGTAAAAAATCAAAGTTCAGCCGTATCGTAGAAAAATTAAAGCCAACCCAACCTTGTTATTTAGTTACCTAGTTTTCTCATCTCTATGCAGGGGTACCTCAGTACCAGGTTCTCCCTTTGGACTGTATCCAAAGAATAGTGATTCGAATCGTCGATAGCCAAAAGATCTCCGACCGGCTCGATCTCTTGGCCTTGCGTAGAGATTTAGCTTCGCTCTGCATTCTCTATCGTATATGTCATGGAGAGTGCTCCGAGGAGTTGTTCATACTAATACCGGCCGCAACTTTCTGCAATCGTTCTACACGGCATAATTTTCATCCCTACCACTTGGATAATTAGCACTCCACCACTGTGCACTTTTCGAGACACTTTGTGACTCGCACTACCAACCTGTGGAACGGCTTCTTGTGACTCCTGAGTTGCAAGCGTTCATGGGCGGCGGTAGTCGCTTTCCACCAGGTGACCCGTCTGCTTGTTTACTATTTCATAAAAAAAGTTAGTTTTTTGGGTATCATAAAAAATAAAAGTTTAAGAAAAAAGGCTCGGCTCGGAGGAACAAACATGAGCTTAGAAAGTGTTTCGCGATCTCAAACTTATTGAGATTAAATAGATGGGCCTGACTGAAGGAGTTTCCTTTTGGTTTATAATTATTATATATATATTTTGACAATGAAGTAAATAAAGATTTATACTTGTTAAAAATACTTAAAATTTATCATGTATCCGTTAAAATTGGACTAGTAAGAGATTAGATTTTAAAACTTTTGTCTCACTCAAAGAAATTTGCCTCTTACATAGTTTGTCATTTATTTAAGTCCCAGCAATGACAAAGAAGTGTGCGGGTTAAAATGGAAATCAGTTAGAATAAGTTCTGTTAAGTGTTGGATTGCGAAGTGTCAAGTCGAGTCATAAATCTTACAGTTTTGACACCGTAAATAGTCGAGGGTTGTTGCTAAGTCCCTTCTTGTAATTTAACAAGTTAAGGTAGCTTCAATATGTCATATAATTTAATGTGGAGGCCGATGCTTATTGTTTTTTTGGTTTAAAGTTTAAAATGAATGGCCTTAATTTGTGTATTCAAGTTTGTATGTAGTCCCCTCTTTATTTGTTTACGTGACAGTCACTTCCATTTGTATATTTTACTTTAGTTTTTCACCATTCTTTTCAAATTCTACAGACGCAGAAGCATTACGTTTTAAGAGTCAGTCAGGCAGCCAATCGTTGTTCCTAAGCAGTAACATCGATTGTTTTCCTTTTCTTGTCGGTGGTATTAAACGGTAACTTAAGATCTTAAACCTAATTACACTAAAAGTAAGTTTCTGTGTAAAAAGCAATTAGGTTGATATAACTGATTGTCGTTCATTTCATGTTTTTATATACATTTCTACAAAAGATTTATCGTCATCATTATTTCAGCAATTTAAGCAAGTATATATTAGTATGTCCACATACAGTAAATACACAATGGCAATTCTAAATAAACACGAGCTTTAATTGTTACCTTATTTATTTATTGAGGAGACGATAAAATGCAGCTCTATTGATAATATTTATAATTTATTTAAGTACTATGACACGCCGGTGGCTGTGGATTTAGCAAATTACAGACTACGGTAATTAAATTATTTCTGGCATCGCGTTCATGTTCCGTAGATCCATCAAACTTCAGATGAGGTACAAATAGTACCTTATTTGCCTTAGTTATTTCGCCGTATGACTTCAGTAGTGTCGAACCACGCGTGCCATTGATACACTTTCCGATATCATTAATACTTTTTGTGGGAACCTTTTCAGACACACCACACTGGAAAACAAAGAAACGTTATTTAGTTCATTTGCACTGACTGGAGATTTTCACCTAGGTCTTTTGTTAAAGTGAGTGGTGAATTTGTATGATCAAGGAGGGATTTTGTTAATTATACTATAAATTGTAAAAAATCACCTATGTTTCGTTCTTTAAAGCCTACAATTATAAATAAAAAACCTATTAAAGTTGCGTCTAAGGTCGTAATTTTATTTCAGATTCTATATTTAATTAATACTTTGAATTTCTACAACTTATTAAACTTAGAAGAGCATCTTATAAACGTGTTCTGTTCCTTTGTGAAAAATTGTGTAATTTTACAAAGAATATTTGTACACACGCTATGCCGGCTACTACTTTCCAGTAAATATTAGAAAATAACAATGTATCTGTTATAAAGTATGTTCTATCTCTTTTTCTAAAAACCCTACTGGAGTTTCCATATCCTCATTCCCTAAGAAGGGAGCGTTTACTAAAGTACTTACTTACGTAAATACTTTAGAAGTTAGTTAAAATAAAAGTACTTATTTTTAGAAAACCTCCAAATTAGCGGGGAACCAACTGGTAATTACTGAAAAAATTGCTATGATTGCTTTTAAACAAGAGAGCGACGAAATCTAAAGTTAAATTTAGAGCACTTAATACTTCGAATAAAAATAACGTCACCGGTGCTCCAACTTTTAAATTTTGCTTAAATACCATTTTCTTAAAGATTTGTGGCTTTCTATAAGCAAGGACCATGATTTGTGTACGATCGGTCACAATATATGCCAGCACTTAAGTCATTACAAGCCACAGCCGCGGCCGTGACTAAACAGTTCATTGGTAATGAGAAGCGTTTTTATTTATCACTAGCTGAGACCCGCGGTGTTACCCGCGTTTGTTGTTATGACCGCGGGCAACGGCGCGGGGCGAAGCCTAAGCTACTCCTTATGTCATCAGCTATCTGCCAGTGAAAGTCCCGTTGAAATCGGTCCAGCCGTTCCAGAGATTACATTACAACAGACAGACAAAAATTGTAAAAAATGTTATTTTGGCAAATGTACCGTGTAACATAATAACATACATAATAATATGAATTTAGTAAAAAGCGGTTATTTTAATATTACAAACAGACACTCCAATTTTATTTTTTTGGATAGATTTTCATCGCTAAACCAAACAGCTATTTTACCCATAGGACGATAACGATCGTAATGCCTTGAGCCTGACGATTTACGAGTAAATTTGTCGTTTATTTATAGAATTTAATAGTGTCATAGATAGCTAGAAGTATTTCAATAATTAGTTCATTTTATAACACAATATGTAAGTCAATAAGTAACTCTGGATAATCTATTGCAAATATTATTTGTAATTGCTTTTGTAATTGCATAAAAGAACGGTAGTTGTGTACACCGGGAGAGTGGCCTATACAGTACTATTGCTTGTATACATCGACACATTTTTTTACAACGCTATCAATAATAAAAATAAATAAATGGCAGAATTAAATAATTGAAAAAAAAAACGAGTGTGATTTAGACCACACGACTGAAGTAACACTTCTTGGCTATGAGAGAAAGAGAGAAAGAAAATGTGTGCTCGCACCTTTCCCTCTTGCCCCTACAGTAATTTACGAAACGTCGCCTCGCCCGATCACACTTCGTAACGCTCTCGTCACGCATTCACCGACTTACTCCCCAAGTCAAGCGTATGTGAAAAAGTCCTGTCCTTAGAAAGGAGGTGAAAGGTACTTTGAAAATCTAACCGTTACTAATAAATTAACAATTGAAGAAGCTAAGTAAAATTCATTAGGGCCAAATACCTTTTTACAAGTAAAATCTTATGTATATAGGCTCTATAAGCAGAGTACCTACAAATAAAACCCTTAGCGGATTACCTGATCTAATTTTACTAAAGAGAAAGGGTTTTATCCCGGGTGAAAAAAATGAAAACGACCTTCTTTAGAGTCGGTTAATTTCTATTTAAGAGCATCCTAATGGAACTAAGATCGACTACAATGCTTGTTAAATATCTTGAAGAATTAACGTTGTATAAATATATATCTAAATAGAAATACCATTTACGAATCAATAAAAAATAGAATGTTAGTACATCCTCGTATTCACAATGTGTAAATCAGCTTTCAATATCGATATAAATAAATATCCCAATCACAAATATCATACTGGAGAACATTCAGTATCCAGCCTGAATTATAAGGCTACTTGTAGTTTGTTACATACCCTAGTTATATCCTCAGGATCAGAGTACTCGAAGCTACTTTGCATAAGACAACTGTTATAAATGACCGCATGCGTGTTATTACGTAGAACGTCGATTGCGCAGGCATGTGCCAGGTTACCGCGGCATTCTGGGGCCCCATGCTGGCAGGTGAAAGAATAACGGCCCTCGGAATCCGTTTCATTGCTCGTCTACAAGAAAAATAAGGTACGGTTTTAAAATTTATAGTAGTTGTCCAAAAGTTGAAAATTCAAACAGTGAAGACTCATCAATTTCAAATACAAACTTCAGCTTGTCTGACTGTTGTATTTTCTATTCTTAGGTAGCATATTTCTTAGTTTCTATATTTCGTTACGTTAAAAACAATGTCGTCGAGATCAAGAATTGGAGTTAAATATAATGTTTGTATTATATACACAGGTCACATAACTTTCGTATAAGGATAGATTTGCCACATGCTTTAGATTTTTACAGAACTGTAGCTGTTTATACTAACATCTAAACAAAACAAGCATAGTGGCCTGTCCAAGTAAATCTTTTTCACGAGGAAACCCCTTCTCCTAGTAAGTAATGCTACAAAATACTTAAAGTTACTTAAAACCTATATTGATTGTTAAATACCTGGGCTTTTCCATATGGTACTAGTTGTAAGTCTAAATATGATCCCAACTTTAGCACAGCAGGCTCCAATTTTTCAACAAAGAATTCTATTGAATACGGACAAAGCGTCTCGTAAAAAATGGTAAGCTGAACTTTTTCTTTCAATGTAGTCAGCTTTGATGCAACCTGAAAACAATATTTACTTTATATAAGTTAAGCCGGATGTTGTGGGTTCATAAAATAATAATTACAATAATTGTGTGATGAGCACGATCAGTCATTCTGTGTCTGAGTGTAATTTATCTATGATATGCATGTATTTGAAGAGGCCTATGTTCAGCAGTGGACTAGTAAAGGCTGTTGATGATGATGATGATGTATTTAGAGTGCTAGTCAGCGGTCTGGACTCTGGTTACCATAGCACAAGGCTCCGTCTAGTTTGGCATCAGGCTGCCGTGTGTGGGACGGGTGAAGTTATTATTATTATTACTTGCAAGACTTGTATTTTTTATTATGGTTTATATCTAATATGTATAATCTAAAATTGCTACTACATATTAAAGAAAATGTTCAGTAAGTGAATTCCAGAAACCTGTTTTATTTGATCTCAGCCTGTATTTAGGAGGTTGTATATCGCTTTGACATTTCATATTCATTAGTGATGATTGTTTTTATAGTTCGAGAGGACATCGTGTTATTATCATTATTTACATATTATTAAGTTTATATTAGATCTCTAGGTTATTGAGTTTTTCAGTAAACAGGTAATTCATTGAAATTAATGGCCTAGGTGTTCAGATAGAATGCAAATAAATTAAATTCTTTGTGTATGTTAGGATTTTACACTAAGAAACTCCACAAAAAATTTACTCAAAAATATACAATTTTTTATTAGTATTATACGGCCATGACTTGACACTCAATGCGCTTTATTTGTGCGCGGAAACGCATAGTATAACCTCTAACATTTTCAAACTCCAACATTCAAACGTCTACATTTTCATTAAATAATAATAATATTTCGGACATCTAACACACAACGCCATCTAGTTTCAAACTAAGCAGAGCTTGTACTATGAAAGCTAAATTGACTGATAGAATACTTATATACTTTTTTGTTACAGATTGTTACATATCGAAAATGAATCTATCCAGTCAACTTTGTTCAACTCATTCGCAATTGGGACACAATCAGCTTTATAAAAATTAAGTCTAGGTGACTGGCACGAATTCAGGTTATTGTCAGCGTTAATTGTTAATTCCAATTCAAAGGGAGGATGATAGCGGTCCATTGAAGTTAGCATGTCGCTAGATTCTCTAACGGATATATTTGACTGAGATGAAAGAACCAAATCAAGAATTTTAGACTGATGGTTTTTTTTGGTATTATATTGTTTTAAGTCGTTTAGTGCCAGAAATTCGGACATGAGATGTTTAAATGGACAAGGAGATATATGTAAGACTGAAAAGAATTAAATGACCTAAAACTAATGAGTGATCATAATTCAAGAGGTTAGCGCTGGCTGTATCCACAAACTGCTCAAAATCTTCCAAGAGGACTGGTGGAGGTATAAACATCGCACAGATACAAAGTTTGACAATGCTTTTCTCAGATTAACTGCTATCCACAGATCTTCTATCTTACCGTTACTTTCAAATTCATGCAATATTACTGTGCTAAATTTTTTATTAACAACAATCATTACACCACCACTTGTCTCTTTGGAATAACAACCCGTCAGGTCACGATCTCGCCTATACACAACATATCGATCATCGAACAATTCTACATCTATAATGTTACTTTGAAGCCAAGTTTCGGTAACAATTATTACATCGCGATCATTAAGAGATACATTAGTATAAAAAGTATTAGTTTTCGTATGCAAAGCTCGTTAATGTCGTTAATGTGTGCGAATTTTATAAAAATCAGTCTTGAGTTCTTGACAGGCAAAAGATAAATTAATTTATACTTAAATTATATTATTAACTGAAGCAAAATCTTTAATTACAATGTTGGTGAAGATTGGGATTTTCTGACAAAAATACACGTCCACTCCTTACCGAAACAAATTTGTAATTAGCCTCTCTAGCTCTAGTCTTGCTGCCTTGTGAAGTTCTTTAATATGCGAAGAGAGGTGTTCCACCACCTAAACTTATGCCTAGGTGTACTGTACTTAGTTTGTCCAATAGATGAGCCTTGTTAAATTTTATGACTGCTGCCAACAATCCGTCAATTTTGATAATTATAGTTTGGGTAATTTCTATGTGTCATTAATTATACATAGAAAATATCCAAAATCCGAAACAAATATTTGCAGAGTATGCAAATACTTGGTCCGACCCGGGAAGCGAACCCGAAACCTCAGAACAGCAGTCGCATACGCTACCACTGCGCCACAGAGGCAGTCAATGTTTAGATAACTCGGTTTCAAGCCAATGTATCCAGATGAAATATCCACTGGAATTTACGAGTAAGTTAGATCTCTAGACGCGGAACCGTGAAAACGGAATTTAAACTTCTACAGTAGTTTTTGCTTGTTGCGCATACAATCATAAATACTATTTTGGCGTCTGTTGCTCCTATATAACACCCCTCATATATAACAAAGGTAAATATGTTTAGATAACATTTAGAATTATTAAGATATAGTTACATAGAACTTACTTTTGTGGTTTCGTCCACTGTTGTACTTGTCGTACTTGTAGGCGAACCTGTAGAAATAGATTGTTAAAATTAGTTTTACTAATTTATTTTAGAAGTACATTTTTTGAAAGTACACTTACTCGTACTTGCTGGTATTGCATTATTTGGCCGAGGGCTGCATAGGGCAACTCCGACAAGAAACAATACAACAAACATTAGTTTAAACATCACTAAGTTTTTTAATTGATCAGCAAGTGCTACAAATCAATGTCAACGCAGGCACAACCAAGGCCAAAATGAGCTTTATTTAGTGAAAACCTATTAATATATTTGTATAGAGATGGAATAGTAACTAACTATTACGTAAAGAGTAATCTTAGTGTGATGAACTATTCACCCGTTTAATCTTATTTGTTTAACATGTCAATACTCGTACGAAATATACGATTGAAAAATAATAAAATAATCTGTAATTCCTCACCTACTAGCACCGACTACAAACAGACTAGAAGGGACTATTGCTATTATAATGTTACCTGTAACATTGAGGGTACTTATTAGTTTTTTTACCTAGATTTGTAATTATTTTTGAATTTTTTGTGCTCTTTGTCAGTGGTGTTGGAAGTCGGTTCAACTTTTTTTTAAAGGATTTATTTTACAATGTTTTGTGTAAAATATGTTTGTAATGAGTAAATAAGTACGATATTTAAAACACTACGTACCGTATTGTATAGTACTGAACTGTAGTATGTTAGATTAGATTAAATATAGTTTAATAAGTCTGTTACTTTATTTACATAAGATAGTAAGATGTTACATTTGAACCCGAAAATACTCGTATTTTGTTTTCCCACATCACACACATTACACATTATGTTCCACAATTGACGGAGATATCACGTAACAAACATACAAAAAAAACATCCTCTTTTGTGTTTTTCGGTCGGTCGGTTTAAAAGAAACATAATGATATATAGATAACGTACATACATAATGATATAGATAATGTACTAAAAGCTGAAAAATAACTAGGTAGGTCCTAGACACCAGTCATTACACCATTCTCCTCATCAATCTACGGCTTTGCATCAGATACAAAAGTAAAATCTTTCTTTTCAATAAAACCGTTTAACTTAAAACGTTTTTTTTTTCTATTTCATTTTTAAGTTTTTAGTTTATATTTCAGTTCTAAAGAAGTTGTCGTGTCTTATCAAGTGGCCGACCATTACGCCTCTACTGTTTTCAATATTATTTAAAAATTCCTTCTCTTTATTTATCATTAGTAAGACATCCTTGGTAATTCTTTTCACTTTCAAACTGATGATTAGCATCCGCCTCCAACACAATATTTCAAATGCTGTAAACCTGTCTCTGTTTCTGTGGATCAGCGTCCACGTTTTGCAGACATAAAGAGCTGTTTGCCTACTATGGTGTTAGTCTTGGCCTTGAACAGGTGTTTCTTGTGGTTGTAGGTCTCCCTACTATGACCGGAATATAAGAATATAAGTATATCTTAATTCCTGCGTTTTTGACTACCTAAATATTTAAAACTTTCTACCTGTTCTACTGTAAATATTAATGATTATCTGACCAGTTATAGATGTTGCAGTGTAATTCCTCAATGTATATTTATTTCAATGACTTTACTCATTACCACGTAAGTTGTCTTTCCTCAAACAATTTTAAGCTTAACTTCACAACTGGGTGGTCTACAATACTGCTTTGCATTTTGTACACAGTTGAAACCCATGACAAAATCAAGCGCCACATCTTTCTTTCAGCCGCCTCAAAATTGAACTTTGCTGAAGACTGTATGGCCTTAGGGTAAATAAGATGTATACCGTCTTTGCCAAACTCGATTCTAACTGACGGTACATCTATTTGGTACATTTTAATTTCGACGAAACTAAGACCAAAGAATTTCAGTAATGTAGCCGATAGCGAAATTTACCAATCTTGGCAAAACGTAACATGTATTTTGGTCCTACTGATATTTGAATATCTAATAGGAAGTGTCCGGTCTTGTTTTTGCATGTAGGTATTATATTAGCTAAATTATCTGTATTATACATCACAGAGACATGGTCATTCATAATGGGCCTCATAAGAAGGCTCAAAGTCACAGAGAGGGCAAAGCTCGAAAGTGATCGAATCAGGAATGAGGAGATCAGCTGACGAACCTATGTCACCCTCATTGTCCGGGGAGGCCTCTGTCCAGTGAACGTCTTTCGGCTGAGATGATGACGACGATGTTTAAATTTTCTAATCGTTCTACAACGTGTGTTCAGGTATTAACTCGCTTGAAGATCTTGATAGCTATACTGTGTGACATTAGGGCGATTGAACTATTGGCTAAAAACTTTTTGTGGTGGCGGTATTGAATTGAATTTTTTACTGGCAACCCAGTCGGCTTCGATTCCCCTTTTTTTTTTTTTTTTTTTTTCCCGTGCGGAAATCCCCTCGGATACCACCTATCGGTGGCATGTCGGACTCGAACCGACTAAAACCGCACGCCGTCGCCGGGTACTAATAGCCGGGGAACCAGGTATACCCTAGAAAGGAAGTCCCTGGTGCCCCGACATACCTCGGGTCATCTACAGACGAGTAGACGACCCCCCCCCCCGTGTGGAAACCCCATGTTCCCTGTGCTCCCTGGAAGCGAGCGCACTTCGCAACGCGCTCGCCGCCACCCCGGCCTGCTTCTGCTAGGGTGACAGATGGCCTCACCTGTCACCCCCAGGCCTGCGCTTATGGAGGACGGAGGTCGTTCTGCGACCTCCGGCGCCTGAGTCGCCTGCTGTACCTGGCCCGTTCCCGGGCCTGGCGGGCCGGGAGAGTCCTAAACCTCTCCCGGTCCCGCTCCGCCGTCTCCTTCGCGAGCATAACTTGCTCGCAGAAGGAGACGGCAGAGTTCCACGCACGCTCGCTCCGCACGATAGCCGCAATCAGGCTATCGAGCGAGAGAACTCCCACTCCGATGGCCGCCACGAGGTCTCGCCTCTGCTCAACCCACGCCGGGCACTCTGCCAGCGTGTGGAGAGCCGTGTCCACGGTCTGGCCATCGCAGTGGTGGCACTCAGGCGTTGGCTCCTTGCGGAGGCTTCGATTCCCCTAGAGCAGCCTTTGCCAAAGTGGGCGATAACGCACCCTTGCGGGCGCTGAATGTATGTGTATGTATGTCTAAATCATCCTTCACACTTTCCCTTACTAAATGTCCCAAGTATTTGAACTAAAGGACTCGGGGTGCCACAACCTTTAAAGACGAATAGTTGACTTTTAAGATGATTTAGCTGTGTTGGTTCGTTTTTTACAAAATGGGATAACTTTAAGGTACAACGTAACGAGACTACGAGTGCAGTAGTTCAAATAGATCAAGTTTGTGTAACGGTATGTCCGTCCCGTCGTTTTTAAATAACTTCAAAAAGTAGGAGGTTATCAATTCGGATGTTTTTTTTTTAATGTATTTGACGTCCATATTTAACGGAGTTATGTCTGAGCGGATTGGACGGTAGACGGATTTCCATAATTCTTTTTTTATTCGAAACTGGTTAATGTCGAAATCGGCCATATTAAATATCATATTGATCTGATGATGACTTTCCGAGACACACAACAGAACACTTAAAAATTTGCTCCTCTCGGTCCTCGTACACGACGGTACGCTCCTCTAAATAGTCTGCCACTTGCCGCCTCAGGTACTTTGGCACCCCATGATAGTGGAGTGCTTCCCTGATGCAGCTGAATGGTGCTAGGTTTTTTAATGGTCTTTGTTAATATTGTTAATACATCTGTCAGTTTAACTTTTTTTAAAGGATTTATTATATAGTGTGGAATTAAGAACTTTATTTTGTAATGTTACTGTGTATATATGAGCCGGCTCAACGTGATATTAAGGCTCCACAGAAAACCAGTGTTAGGCAATGTTTCCGTTGCTTTTCACTGAGGTAGTGTGACCTGAGGTTTGGGCTTTTTGTCTCACTCACTCACCCTACGATACTGTGTAAAAACTAGTCTAATATTAGAGCTAGTATACAAATAACTTCAGCATTTTATGTGATATTGTGTTCTCCTAACTAAGTTACAATAGTCCTTCTTAAGAGAGTTAGAAATTCTAGTCAATAAATCAACACACCCAATAAAAAATAATTTAAATGTATTGGAGATCGCCTGGCGTTCGAATTAAGACCTTGTCAATAACTTTTAAATATTTTGTGGCATAACTTAGACTGACTTTTTAACCTGTGATATTGATGTGACGGCAAGTGCGTTGATCAATGTTACTGACGACATCAGGCTTGGAATGGAAAATAGAAAACTCACAGTTCTTTCCTTACAGGACTTTAGCAATGCTTTTAATAGTGTAGATTTCCACATCTTGCGGGCTATATTGCGCTCTATTACCATATCTCCAACAGTAATTGATTGGTTTCAAAGTTAGAAATAAGAAGAATCTTTTTCATCTTGGAGTAAATTGTCTGCTGGCGTCCCACAGAGTTTAACGGTACTGCACTGCCAATGAGTACCTGTGTTAAAAATCTAGGGATTTAAATTGATAAAACCTTATCCTGGGGCCCCCAATTGCGAGAGGTCAGTCTAAAATTGTTTGCATCGGCGGGGCTTCGCAATTTTCTGCCAACGGCAACTAAAATTGCGCTTGCGCTATCCCTCCTCCTTCCTATACTCCACTATGCTGATGACACTGTACCACGTTTTACGATAAGTCGTTTACTGTACAGTCCGACTATGGAATGCTTTGCCAATGCCTATAAAACGTGCTAAAACTTTACCTACCTATAAAAAAATGGTCAAAGAACATTACCTGTCATTTTAATTTATTATTTACAAAACATATCCTATCTGCTGCATTCCTCTTCGAATGAATTGTAGATTTTATGTATTTGTGTATGTATGTATGTATTACAGATTACTTATGTATTAACTTATATTTATATAAGTAGGTATTGCTAGAACTGAGTGCTGTACTCGTATATAATTAACACTACTTTGTTTTATAACTGTCAAAGGAATGCTGTTGTGCTGTATATTTTTTTTTGTTTCCTTTACACTTTTTTCTCACCAAATCTGCCCATGAAATTACCTATTTACAGTCTAAGTATTGGGCTCTTATAGCCTTTATACTGTCTGTTTGGTGACGATTGAAAAATACGGAGTATCACCATCCCAACTAAGGGCATACACTACGCAGAACAACAGCATTGCAAAGAGAAGGAAAACTTAACACAAACCCTATAACGACCCGTTAGGCCAGCCTGCTATAGTAGGCCAAAACGTCTTTGCTTAGGAGAGGCTTATGACCAGCACTGGACTATCATAGGCTGTTGATGATGATAGCCTTGGTCTTTCTGTGTCAGTTTTATGTTTGTCCTGTGTTTCAGTCCTTTACATATAATTTTTCAATTGTTACAAATGTTATTTCAAAATTGGAACTTTCTGCATTTGTTTTACTTAAAACCGTTTTAAAATATATGATACATCAAATGTGAAAGTGAGTTTGTTTGTTTGTAATGCTTTTAGACCTAAACCACTAAACCAATTTTAAAAAATTCACCAAAGGAAAGATAAATTATCAGTGAGTAACATAGGCTTTTTACTACGAAAACCAACATACACGTGGACGGAGCCGCAGGCAAAAGCTGGTATTATATAAACCTGACATTTTTTAAGGGCATGGTGTATTAATGGCTAAGGACATCTACAGGGGATAAGACAACACATTCATTAATCGACATGATATGGAAAGTCAATATAATTACAGTTTAAATTATAATGGTTAATGAAATAAAAAAAACCTTGAAACTAGGCATTTTTGACATACCAGGTCATCTTTAGCAAAATAAAAACACTACTATATATGATTTTTTTATTTGTCTTACTATATATTCGTGTTAAAGTGAAGTTTCAAAGTACTACTCAAATACTATGTTATATATGTATATACATATATAGATAAAAAGATGTAGTTGATACGAAGTTCAACGGGTCATCTAGTTATCAATAATAATAATCCTTAGTGTTTTTAGGGCATTCATCTGGCCTTGGGTAGAGCATGCCACAGACTGTTCCAATTAAGTCAGTCCTACCGCTGTCCTCATATACCGAAGATTGATCGAAAACTAAATGAGGTACGTAAAATATTCTATTCGACTTGGTCACTTCGCCGTATGACTTCAGTAGCAACGAGCCACTAGTGCCGTTGACACATTTTATTATATTAGTAATAGTTAATACTGGAACCTTTTCAGCCAGCCCACACTGAAAATGAAATTAAATCATTTTATTAAAGTTAAACATACTTACAAGATTTTTAGTAAATGTGAGGAACGTAGTACGTGAAGAGTAAGTTGTAGGTACTAAACAAAGGTGGTCTGGGGAGAGGGACGATAACACGAAACCAGTTTGAAAGATAATTGTAAAAGTAAGGTAAGGTAAGATAATAAGATGATAATGATAGGTAATAGTATATGACAACGTACCTGCGTGATGTCAGTATTAGTGTAATCGTTAGTAGTGGACATAAGACAGCAGTTATAGAGAACGGCTAGAGTTTTGTTTTTAACGTGGTTGAGCACACAGGCGTGTACCATGTTACCGTGGCACTCACTGGGGCCATGATGGCAGCTAATGGTATTATCGCCGATGCCATCATTGGTCTGAAAATTAAATTAAAATTGAATGCCATGTTAAGCAAACATACTTGGTCAAAGTGCCACATTTTAAAGAAATCGAGGATTCTTTTCTCAGGGCATGAAGGTATTAAGGTTAAATTTACAGCAATTTCTTATGTCTTCGGTCAACAACATCATAACATATGGTAACCTATATTGTTACTATCATTAATCTATTATCGAAAATCACTTTTCAAAGATTGATCAATCTACAAAAAACTACAAATTATAAATAATAATAACCTGAACTAAAAAGTAGAAAAGAAATGACAGCTTAAATAAATTATGATTATTTAAAATTAAAACCTAAAACCAGCTTTTGCAACTAGACGAACTAAAAGGTGGAAAATAATTTTCTATAACTTCAAAAAGAAAAATCATTTCATCGTAAAAATGCGTGGGAACTACGTCTCAATTGTTGGAAAAATATTTGATTGACAGATATTGGTAAAAGTAAAGCTATTATATTATAATAAAATATGTTGATAAGTACCCCACGCTTTTTGCCCAATTCTATATACTGTTTTATATCTGTTTTAATTTAACTAATTAAAACAGATATACAATCTGATTTACCTAAATTAGTAACTTGCCAGTAAATATGAGCGCTTTTCCAAGATAAACATGGCTAGCCAGCCATTTTAGGACGCTCATATTTACATTTACCGCTATTAAATGGCAGTCTAACGAAATATTCTGCATGACGAATGCAATAGCAGGCAATTAAATCAACGCCTTAGATGAGAATTGTTTTTGCTTTACTTTTTTCAACAGTTAGACAATAACTTAAAAAAAAGTTTATTCAACGTGAATCAATTCTGAATTACATTTAGTGCTTACAGATTTTATGTGATATGCTTCTGTTTTTTACTTTGTCGTGGTTCATAATACGAGTAATATAATATATGAGAATACCATGTCGATGTTAATGTACTGCGTTGTCCGTTATACATTATATTATTTTCAGCCACTTATATTTTAACATATTTATGTTATCAATATTTGCACGTGTACGTTAAACGAATGAGTGAATTCGCATAAGCCTTGTTTTTTTCTACAGTATCAATTTCTTTTTTGTGAAGAAGTTTCGTATGAAAAATGCAGACACAGACATATTAGAAATGCCCTTATTTTCCCGGCTACAATTTTTAATCCCACTTACGCAAAAGAGGGTAAGCCTATTGCCGCCAAATTGGCAAATATATTTACTTCTAAATAAACATAGTTATATAATTCTAAACGTTTCTAAACATCCGTGTGGTGACGGATTAAGAATACAGACTGTTACCACCACTATTCATCCCGTGGGTGTCGTAAGAGGCGACTAAGGGAGCAAACTACGCAGGACAACAGCACTGCAGAGAGAAGGGAAACTTGACACAAACCCTTTTTCTTTTTTTTTTTATTACGTGTGGAAATCCCCTCGGACCGTCAACCCACCGGGGTTTGCGGCGGGGTGGTGTGTCGGACTCGGACCGACTAAAACCACACGGTGTGCCACTCTGCGCCTGTAATAGGAGGGATCCGGGAACAGCTGTTATTAAGACATCCGGACCCCTCCTAGCGCCGGCCCGCTCCTGTTGCGGGCTCCGTCTCAAAAATTTAGGCGACATCCGGCACACGCGGACGCCGCCCCCTCGCGGCTGGCCAAACTAATGCGGGTGGAGGGGAAACCCACCCCGTCCACCCGCGGCCACACTCAGGGCGGCATGAGGCGGTGATAGGCGCGCCGGATCGGGTCCGAGTGGAGGTCGTCCTCCCGGGCCTTCTCCGCCGCCTCCTTCTTGCGACCTTGCGAAGGTTGCGACCGCGGTAAAACAACTGTCGCTACCGGCCATGGAGCGTACTACGGCCGGTAGCGAGAGATCCACTCCGATGACTGCAGTGAGGGCCCGGCGCTGCGTCGCCCATGCGGGGCAGACCGCCAGCGTGTGCTGGGCCGAGTCCTCACTGCAGTCGCAGTGGTGGCAGGCGGGACTCAGTTCCCTCCTAGCGACCGAGTGCAGGTACTTTCCGGAGCAACCGTGCCCGGAAAGCACCTGCGTCAGCCGGAAGGTAAGGGTCCCGTGCTGCCGCCCTGCCCACTCGGCGATGACCGGCTGGAGAGCCTCCACGGCGGCGAAGCCAGCGCGTGGAGTCTCCAGCCGGAACGACCAACGAACCATCGTGGCTCGGCGAGCGGCTTCGCGCCACTCGCGCACGTGTTCGGGCGGAGGGCGAAATCCGCTCTCCGCCCGGGAGTCAGCCACTCGCCGATAAACTTCGGCGAGCACTTCCGCTTCCAAATCCCACGGGGGAGTTCCGGCCAACGCGCACTCCACCTCCGTCGAAACGGTGCGGTAACCGCGTATGGCTCTGACCCTCTGAGGGCGCCAGAGGCGTGCCCTATTCTGGGCGGTCAGAGCCGCCGCCCACACCGGTGCACCGTATAGTGCCATTGACCGGACAACCCCCGTGTACAGCCGTCTTGTCGCGACGCTGGGTTCACCCAAATTGGGCAAACTTGACACAAACCCTATACCAACCCGTCTGGCCAGCGTGGTGTAGTAAGCCAAAACCTCCTTTCTAAGGAGAAGCCTATGTCCAGCAGTGGACTAGTAAAGGCTGTTTATATATTTCTAAATTCATACATTTTACAGATAAATTAAACGCAGACTCACAATCAGAAAAAGTTATCGTGCTCATCACACAATGTTTGTTTGTGTTGTGGGAGACCAACAAGCCCGTCTACGAAAACAAAAAATACGAAACAAAGACTTCAATGATAAGAAGTGTTCAAAGTGTGCAATCAAAGGTGTAATTGGTGCCAAATTCACGTACCTCAGCAAGTCCATAGGGTACAGTGTACAACTCCAAATGTGAGCCTAACTTTAACACAGCGGGCTTTAATTGCTCGACGAAGAAATCTACTGAAAATGGGCAATGCGTCTCGTAAAATACCGTGAGCTGGACTTTATTATGAGAATAATCCATGCTGTACGGGGTCTAAAAATAAGAAAATTTAATTAGTTGCATGCAGTTGCTTTATAACTTTTAAAAGCTAAGTCAGTTATAATAACTAAGCAATGAATAGAGCATTCCGCCTTAAACAAAGGAAATTGCAATTCTTATTTTTTGTGGCAAATATTGATGACTATTTTCAATGTTTTCAATACTTTCGTATTTCGTAGTATGTAACTTAAATCGTGAAAGAAATTACTTAGTATAATAATTTTACTTACTGTCGAAGTTTCTTGTACAGTGTCAGTTGTTAGCAAATCTGAAAATTAAACATTTTAGTTTTAAAGATTTATCCAAAGCGGAAAATCACAAATTTCTGCATTGTTTACCTGTATCCAGTGTATCGTCACGTAACTGGGGGAGGCACATGGTAGCCCCGGCTAATAATATTTGGAAAAGTAATATTTTGCAATACATCATCGTGCTATTCCTGATCACAACTAAATTAAAGTGATCCTGGCAAGTCCTTTATATAGTTGGCATTGTGGCAACAAAGATTGATAAAACGTTGGTGTTAATTAAAAACTAAGCAAGGCTGTTTGTTCAGGGAAAACCAAAAGTTCAGGAAATATGATAAAAAGCACGCTACTCTTAATTAATAAATACTCGTAGGTGTAGGCATCCTTAAAGTTTCAAAACATCCTTTTTGACTTTTTTTATGTTGACATAAAAAACGGGCTCAAAATCGTTGATATAATTTCACTTTGATGCATTAAATTTCTGGTTAAACATTTCTAATTGTCATCATTAAATCTAATTGTCATAAGCATCTACATTCAACTGACCTTGACTTATTGAATAAATGAAAAAATAGTATGAAAAGATCGCACACCTACTTAGTGCCAAATTACTACATTTTCTATCAACCATTTACCAACATTACCTTAAATATTATGACTCTTATTATTATTTAATATTTAAAAAAAGTTTTTGTCGTTCTGTTATTTCCTAACAAAAGTTAAAAGTTCGTTAAAAGTTAAAAAAGATATGATGTATGTTTGATAAAATACTCCAAATTTGTAGTAAATAGCCGTAATAAAGTCTAAAGAAAATTAGTATAATAATATTACAATTTAACACACAAATAATAAAACTTTGTTTAGAAATGTTCACTACACAAGACAAAAACTACACAATAAAGCGTTTACTAAATATTTTTTCACTGAAATCTGTTTCGTATACAAAACCCAAGCTGCCATTCTACAAGCAAAACCTTGTATAACTTAATATGTCAACACTGTTTTTTTGATGAGTTATAATAATTGTTGGTTTTACAGATCACTGTTAGCGTATTTCTTCTGAAAATAAAACATTTCGAAATTATTAATTACAAAATTGGGATAAAAGAGGTTGTTTCTGAGGAATGTTACCCAGGTATTACCGATTACTACATAAGTGAAGAGTCTATAAGCAGCCTTGCCGTGCTAGATCTCGGTAAAGGAACTGGGCTCGACAATAAACCTTCAATATTTTGTTCCTGATTTGCACATCACCTATTTTTTCACCTCACTAGTATTTATTATTATGAATGCTAGCGAGGGGAGGATAATCAGGGATAAACTATATCACGCTGTCGCCCTGCTGCTATACTGTCTATATTGTCAAAGGTCTTTGAATCACTAGTCTATACAATATTTTATGATACTATCAAAAACTATCTATCTCACAATCAGAAGGGATTTATAGTGAACAAATCAACTAATATGAATCTTGTGACCTACGTTTCTAAAGTACCTACAGCTGTGGACCATTGATTACAAGTAAATGCGAACTTTTTGAAGGCTTTTGATAAGGTCAATCAAAGCATACTTTTACAAAAACAGCAGTCCATAGTCATAACCAACACAAGCCTAAAGTGGTGTTATTAGTTTATAACCAGACCTTCTTCTTTTCTCTTTCTTCCTTCTTTCTTCTTTATTGTAGACGGAAATCAGTAAGAACCCTATTTTGCTACTTCTGGGGTGCCGCAAGGTTCATATTTACACCTACTTTTTTGTAATTTTTGCCGATAACCTATCTTTTTCTGCGCGGAAATCCCATTTCGTCTATTAGCGAAAAAAAAGGGTATATAATAACCGCCGGCGGTTATATCGGATTCGATCCGACTAAAAACCGCTCGCCGCTGTAACCATATTAAGAAAATTCCTGTTACCCCGACGCACCCTGGGCTCTCTACGGCTTGTAGATGACTCCCTCGTGTTTGGGAACCAAGGTGTTCTCATTTTACACCCTAGAGGCTCTCGCGCGCTTCACAGTGCATCGCGCCGCCTATCCGGCTTGGTTCTGTTAGGGCAGATGATCTCACCCGTCATCCGCAGGCCTGTGCTTATGGAGGACGCGTCCGGCCCCTAGGTCGTCTGCGATACCTGCAAGCATAACTTGCTCGCAGAAGGAGATATTCAGTCTTTATCACGCGTTTAGGTGTTTGCCGATGACCTAAAGTTAATACGCATGATACAGACTGAATGCGATCATCATTTGTTTCATATAGATATAGATGGTTTATGCGAATTGAGTACAGTGAATAAAATGTATCTTAACCATAGTAAATGTTATCACATAAAATTTTGCAAGAAATAATATATAATAATATATCGGAGGACGACTGACTTTCGGGAGGTTAGTGGCATTCAGCCCCCGGCTTGGTGGCGTGGTGGATAAGTAAGAGGCGTGAGGCCGATCGTCGAGCTACGATGGCTCGTTGGTCCCCCCCCTTCCCTAACTGTATCCTCATGTTGTCGTCGTGAGGAGGCTTGCGCGAGTCAGTGATCTCTGAGGTTATGCCGGTAGAGTCACTCTTATCGGATTGGCTCAGAGGGAGACTCCAGACTAAGAAGGATAGTCGGTGGGGCCTTTCTTGGGTCACCGATAGTTGCTCCACTGTCCAAAGTGAAGGAACGACGACGTGCTCGGTGAGCACTTACTCTGCCACCGACCAGGCTATGGAGACTGTGTCTCCTTGCTGCCGTTAGCACTTCGCAATCCCTGTAGGAGTGTCGTGGTTATATCTCGCAACTCTAATCGGGAGCGAGGATCTCAGCTTAGCCGCTCGGACTCTCGCAGTCCAGGCGGAAGAAAACCTCTTTAAAAAATTACTCCGGATCCCGTGTTCTGTTGCGAAACCAGGGGATGCATGACTGATGGGTAATTCAGTCGCAAGCGCACTCCCAGCCGGGGCACCTGCGGGCCCCTCGGTTGGGTATAAATCTACACTTGCGCGGGTATTGGGGGATCTCTGCCCGGGTCGACCTTTATTACACCCCCACTCGTGGGATTAGTTATTGTTTACCTTGGTCCAACCTTCCAGTCACACCAATCATAGTCATATCAAAACTTTTAGCCCTATCATTAATAGCCATTGTTTACCTTAAGAATCGCCGCGTTAACATCGCGTATCGAGACTTGATAATAGAGCTGCAAGTCGGCGGCATAAAGATCACACATCGATTATGCAGCGTTATGAGTATTAATAGACGTTTCAGGTAGTGCGTCGTAGTTTTGACAAGATGTGACACTTGTCAAATCTTCGACTGCACTACACGTACCCGTACATCGTACCCCTTTAGAATATAATAGCAATAACAAGTTCATAAGATGAGGATCGAAAACACACAAAAGAGATTCATTCGAATCTTAATTCTTAACTTCCAGATTTAATACTCGTATCTTCTTCTATCTCTATCTATTTCTCAAGCCCTTAGCAAGTTCTTTATAAAAGTTCCAACCAAGGTAAGCGAAACCATCCCTGTTCTCTTTATAACATTTCTCGACATCACACAAATTTAGGCAAGAAAGATTTAGGTTAGTAGGTTGTAAGATTGTGGAGACAATATATGCAAGTGTTTCGGCAGATTTAGATTATTATTTAATAAGTATTTAGGAAAACTTTAAAATGTATGTTAGAAAACATTCCAAGTTGAGTTGGTATATTTCTTTACATAAAATGTTACCTAACTTAATTTATTTGATCGTTAATCAAGTTAGTTGTTAATTCATTATTTGTTAAACTGTTTTAAATGAAAAAGAAGATTTAACGTTATTTGGTTTATTGTGATTTAATTTTATGTTCTTTGATTTTATAGTTATTTTCATTCTAATTTAAATACTCTTGAATTTCTTGAATAGAAATTCAAGAGTATTTAAATTAGATTAATCTGGTTTTTTTTCTTGTACGCTTTGATCTTTCAAAATAAGCAACAGATTTTAATGCGCCTTTTACCAACAGAGAGAGTGATTCAAGAGGCGGGTTTATATCTCAACTCAACTCAAACTTTCTTTATTTCATAAAATTTCCAAAATTGTTTGAAATCGTCTTCCATGTAGACTCTAAAGTCATAGATCAACACACACAAAAGCAACAATCTCTGTTTTGTCAAATAGTAACCAAATAAATTTAACAAAAATCAAACCCATACAAAATCTATGATATGCCTGTGCTGATCTACAACCCTCTACTGTACAATGCAAGTATTATACTTGCATTGTACAGTAGAGGAAATCTGAGAATTTCAAAGATGTGTGATGTGACGTCGTGAACAACATGTTTTGTGCGCTTACATTGCAAACGCTGGCTAAACCTTTCGATATATTCGATATATATTTATATATAGTCGAATTCTTTTTTTAAAAATATCTATAAAAAGTAAGAAATGGTATATATCTATCTCCTAAGGATAACCCACCCATAAGGCAACCATTGTTATCTTTTACATATTACAAAAAATATAATAAATAATAATTTACCAAGCTATTTTGAACAATTACAGTCTTATTCATTATCTAAATAAATAAATACGTTATATACGTCAAGCATTTAATGTCGATCACTATTGTCTTTTACAACATATGATTAAAGTGGATATCTTAGTAGATATCAGAGATTTAAAAGGCGGAGGCAAAGCGGCCGTTGTCGCGTCGGGCCGTATCCATCCCTGGTGGGTGAAAGATGGATGACGTATGCTGCTATTAGCTTTTATCTGCTTCAGCTAATTAAAATACTAGTGTTCTTAATCATCAGCCTATCGTCATCCACTGCTAGACAAAGGCCTCCCCAAGGAGCGTCAACTATCCAGGTCATCATCATCATTCGTCATCTATCCATTCATGTTGTGTTTTTATTATTTGTTAAACAATTAAGTAATCTAAGAAATAAAACACGTCACGATTTATTAAAAACATTATTTATTAAAAAAATTATTCGTTGCATTCCGATGGTGGATTTCTAAAAATGTCACAGACATCTCGCAGGAAATTGTCACCGCTATACTGGTTCCCGTTCATAAGAATGAATGGCACAGAACTAAAACCAACTTTTTTGCTTTCATCACCATAATTTTTAAGGAGCATTAATCCTCGTCGACTAATGGCACAATGCTTAATTGGACCTGAATCTATATTCATTAGTCTGCCGCACTAGAAAATATAAATAAAAAGCTTTGATTTTTTATTCTACTTGTAGAAAACCGACCTCGACTGTATTTACAATCATTATTCTCATGTAACAGTTATTCAAATATTTTATAAACAATTTTTAGTACGCTTCATTCAAGCTACCTATTTATCAAAGTATCGGAAATAACGAGTATAAACAGTTTTATTTCCATTTCAAAAATATCTTTCAATGTACTTTTTGTAGATTCAGTTATATTCACTTACTAAATGTAAAAGTGTATGGAGAAAGAAAAAATCTCTAAGTATTGTGGTCGTAGAATTAATCTTTTTATAAGCAGATGCTCTGCTTCTACCTAAACATGCTTGAGGCTAAAGACAGCCAGAGTAGCATTACAAAACACACAGACAAAACAGCAGCAACAGATAAAAACCGTAAGGAATATGTGTAAGGATGTAAGGACAAGTTTAAAAAAAAGTTTTTGCTATTGTCGTATTCCCAAAGTTAATTGGGAGGCGTTGTGTTTTTTAAACCAGGCAAAATGTTGTCATATGTGTGTGTTTTACCTTATCAGCAGCTTCATTATCAGATCCTTTATTATTCTGGTCGAAGCTCATCATACAAGTATTGAACTCCACGGCTAGTGTAATATTGCCCAGAAAGTCGATTGCGCACGCATGTAACATATTGCCGTAGCATTCGGCGGGACCATGTTGGCAAATGACTTCGATTTTACCACCAGCATGAATAATTGTCTGAGGAGTAAATTGTAAAGGTTTCGTTAACAGACATCATCAACGCATTTATTACAAAAAAAGTCAGTGACCTATAAAGTATATATTACAAATAAAAAAAATGATTATTTCTAACTGACCCTATTTGATCTTGTTTTGTGAGTTAATTCTTAAAAATACTAGCTTCTTAAGAAAAACAAGTATTATAATAGAAAAGCGTTTTTTTTGTAAAAAAAACCATGACAAATTTAAATATTTAATTTTGAATAATGAATGGACTAAAATGGGAATTAATACTTTCATAAATAAAATAAATAATGCGTTCCAGGTTACTTTTAGAAAGAGAAGACGTAATATAATGCTTAACAAAAATAACATGAACATAAACTGGACTACTAAAGGTATAAAAATTTCAAGTAAGATGAAAAGATTCTTGTGTGTAAATAGTGGTAATAATCTTGATAGTAGTTTAATTTCATATAAAAATAATTATGTGAAACTATTTAGGAAGGTCGTGAGAAATGCTAAGCGAAATGCGGTATCAAAACAAATAAATAACGCCAAAAATAACAGTAAACAAATATGGCAAGTTGTAAATCGACATAGAAATAAAAATAATAATAAAGTTATGAAAAAGCTAATTATAAAAACCAATGAGAAAATAGTTGACAATCCTAAAGAATTGGCAAACTTATTCGCCAGGCAATTTAATTATACACCCACGTCAGAAAATAGTAATCAAAATCAGGCAAGATTTTACCTTCAACAAGGCTCTGATAAGGTAACTAATGAGATGACGTTAACTGCTGTTACACCTGATGAAGTCATAAAGATTGTGAATGATATGCCGAATAAAAATTCTTGTGGCTTTGATGAATTGCCAATATCGGTAGTAAAGGAGCATATCGCAATCTTAGCTTTACCTCTGTCTCATTTTTATAATAAATGCTTTGAAAATAGCATCTTCCCAGAACAATGGAAAATAGCAAAGATTATACCATTGTACAAAAAGGGCTTACAAACCGACCCTAAAAATTACAGACCGATTTCTGTGTTACCTACACTCTCGAAAATATTTGAAAAGCTAATTAAAAGCCGTCTCACTAGCCATCTGAATAATAACATAGTTTTAAATCGGCGACAATTTGGATATCAAAAAAGTATCGGTACGACAGATGCTATCAATACCTTAATTAATGATGTCATAGAAAATATTAACAAAAAAGTCAAGGTGGCTGGGATCTTTCTGGATTTGAGTTCCGCTTTTGACACAGTGGATTATGAACTGCTTTTCATTAAAATGGAACATTATGGAATAAGGGGCAATGTTTTAAAGTTATTTAAATCATATTTAAAAAATAGAAAGTTTTATGTAGAAATTAAGGAGGTAGGAGAAAACAATTGTCAAGAAGTACACCGATCACAACTTTTAAATGTCAGGAAGGGCGTACCGCAAGGTTCCATATTAGGGCCTATTTTGTTTACACTTTTTACAAATGACTTACTATCCTATTTGAGCGTAAAAAAGCCAGATGTTAAACTCACGGTTTTTGCAGATGATACAAACGCTGTGATTAGTGCAAGTAACCTAAGTTCCTTAAATGTAAAAATAATTGGCGCACTAGAAACTTTTCAAGATTGGTTTGCAGTTAACAAGCTTATAGTTAACACAAAAAAGACAAACCTAATCTTATTTAAATCGACAGCTAGTAATAACGATAGATTAGACGTTATGATTAATGGAGAGAGATTAGAATTCGTGAATTCTGTTAAATTCTTGGGGGTTCATATTGATGCATTGCTCAATTGGAAAGAAGAGATAAAATCTATTGACACCTCAATCTCTTCAGCATGCTATGCAATTAGGAGCCTTCGAGAAGTAGTAGAAATAAATATCCTAAAATCCGTTTACCATGCGCTAATAGAGTCAAAGTTCAGATATAGTATACAACTGTGGGGCAATAGTTACGCTTATAATATAGAGAGGGCGTTCATTTTACAAAAAAGAGCTATAAGAACTATAGTCCGCATTCCCCAAATAGAATCATGTCGAGAACATTTTAAAAGTCTTGGACTATTGACGGTGCCTTGTTTGTATATATTGACAACATTGTGTTACTTATCCAAATATATGCACGAGGTTGAAACCCACGAAGAGAGGTTAGTTAGAGAGAGCACGCGGAGGAAACATATTCAACATACAATAAACCCTAGAATGAATATAGCTCGGCACTGTGTTCAGTATCAATCCATTAAACTTTTTAACTGTTTACCGGAAAGCATAAAAAGCGTAATTTATAGGACTTCTTTATTTAAACAAAAACTTGGAGCCTTCCTGTTGGAAAATAACTATTATTCCATCAATGAATTTATCAATCAAAATATATGCAATTAAATACTTAATAACTTATGTAATAATAATAAATATTGTGAATAATATTCTTGAATCATGAAATGCCTTAATATAATTTATCGTTTTTTTTTGTATTCTACATGACATATTGTAAATTCTATCAAATTTATTTGTTTTTTGATTATTATGTTATTTATATTTTTGTTTTAATTTTTAAATATTTTTGTATTACGGCGAATTGTTATACATTCAAACACAATTATATTATTGTTTGTGAATAAATGAACTATGAACTATGAACTATGATCGAACTTATAAATAAGTTTTTTTTTATATTTTGGCATATTTCTTTTCTTCTGTCTTTGAAAGTTCAATATTAAAATTACTATTTAATCTGTTAAAGGAGTGGAGAAATTTTCACAAAAAAATAAATATGCAAGATACTTCTGACGTCCTCATTATTACAATGTGAATATGAATTATTACAAACTTACTCTAGCATTTCCATATGGATAAATATGTACGTCGAGATGATTGCCCAGTTTCTTTACAGTCGGAGCAAATTGTTGAGTGTCGAAAACCCTGCAGTCGGGGCACAAACACTCGTAAAACAATTGAATCTTCACTTTTTCCTGTTGTTGAAGTTGTTGCAAAAACGGTTGTAAAAATTGTTGATTCCTTTGTTGTAACTGTTGTTAAAAATATTTTTGTAATCTTTACAGAAATGGTAACTATATACTACAATGTAATCGTCATGTTAATTAATTTTAAATATTGATAGTAGAAACAATGCGGTTATGCATTTGTTTTGTTTATTTAAGTTCAATAAAATAACCCTAGTTTTAGCTAATGAGCTAGCAACAAATACACAACACCTAGTATTATTTAAAACTCAATTTTTATTATTTTACCGTTTAATATTTATTGGGTAAATGAAGGAAAACAGTAGAAACAAAAGAATATATTGTTTAATTAAAAACACACTCACTTATCTAGCTTGTTTGTTAACAAATTTTTAAAGTAAGATTCAGTTTCTTTAGTATAGTTTTTTTTTTCATTTGAACGCAACAAAAATTAGAAACTAATATAAAATATTCACATTTCTATTACCTTATTCTGCATCAAGTATAGGTTATCAAGTTTGGGTGTCGCAACTCGTAAAGGCTGGGAATATAATTGATTAGAGGCCAGATCTGCAAATTAACAAACATAACTTACTGTGTTATAATAAATGAATGCTAGGAATTTACTTAATCTTTGAGAACATACCATTAAATTGAGCTTCAACACATGTGTATATTACACTTATTATGAGAAATATTAAGCACTTGTAAGGACACATTATTAATTTCATTACAAGACTGGCGATGGCGGTTTGTGAGGTCTTTCCCAGATACGTGTTTAAAGTGAACTAGTGATAAAACGCTATCGAGACCTATTTAATGTGTCACTTACATTAAAGACTTGGCTGTGTAAAATAAACCAACTAAATAATGTATCGGTTATTGTGCTGTATTACATATGAGTAATATGTATATGTATGATTCATTTTTTTTTAAATTATTTGTTATTTTTAATGACGGTGTGACAGAACCATGGATGTTCTCCGTTCTAGTGGCAGCGAAGAGTTGTTGTTGTTGCTTGCATATGATCAAGGACTCGAAAAGCGTCATTATTTAGCGTTTATTAGTAAAATATTTTAATACGCTTTTATTAGTTTGGTATGTGCGATATACGATACTATAATATAACGACAAAAGTTAATGATCAAAAACTGAATGTCAAAACTACTGAACGATATTTGAAACAAATCTAGATAGTGCTACAATGTTATAAAACTAAGTGATTGAATAAGATACCCATAAATTAGCTGATTGAACTGTCACCCAAAGTTGATGATCAAAGTCGTTTCAAAAGAATTAGCTGATTGACCTTTCGGGAAAAGTTGATGATCAAAGATGTTTCAAAGAAAGTAGCTGATTGAACTGACGCCAAAAGTTGATGATCAAAGACGTTTCAAAATAATTAACTGATTGAACTTTCGCTAAAAATTGATGATTCTCCATTGCACACTTATCAAGGACCGATGACAATGCAATAATTTAAGTAGTGTGTCCCATTATCCTGATAAAGACCTTCAGGATTACCGGCTATTTCCATACCCAAAAATAGGGTAGTGTCTTTTGCCATGTATCACGGCGTGTGCTGAAGCATATGTTATAAACTTACTTCTTAACTTTTTAGTCTTAATAAGATAATAATATTATTAAATAATGAATTAAATAAAAATAAATTATGTAAATATGTACTATAATAAACTATAATTTATTAGACAGCAGGGTGGATCACGATCAGCGCAATTAAGTAATTCGCATTAAATAGTCTTATCTAGAAAAGGGTGCAGTTAAATCCAATACTTTTATATACACTTAAAAAAGTTAAACCACAAAAAGTAATAATGAATCCATTACACACTAAATTGAAGAGACCACAATACAGATGACGACTTTTATACAATAGGTAATATAAATAAAAGGCTTAGGTCCTATAAAAGTCGTGCCACGTACTGATGTGTACGTATTGAGGAAATAAAACATTTGGTAATTACTTTGGCCTTACCTAGGATTCTATTAACTTTCTTTCAAGTTTATTTAAAAGAAAGGCGAAGTGGTACCAGGCGCCGATAAACAAAGAAAGGTCTACTAACATAATGAACGTTGGTTTTAAATGAATGGCCAAGGTTGCACTTTACAATAGCAGAAGCAGGCCTGAGACTGTGGTGCGACATATTCAGTGTGTTTATTTGACGGAAGTGAAGTCAAGGTTGGTGTGGTAATGTCAGATGGGCCTCTCCGCTCTTAGCCCTCTTCGTTCCGGGGGTAAACTTAAGTGTATTTTAATATTTGTGACAAAATATCGTGTATGTTTTATTAGGTTCTATGCCAACATACGACTTCACCGCTAGCATACGATAAACATGTTTCCACTGATCGCGCCTGATATCCGTTCAGGTGATTCTTTCGGTTAATATCAACATCGGTTAATATTTGATTAAAATCAAAGGTAAGATACAAAAAATATAAACCGAATTAAGAAAATGTTGTTTATTAAATCAACATGTAATGCAATCATCGTGAATAGTCAGAGTAAAAAAAATGTTTTACTAATTAAACAGCGTAAGGTATATGAGGATCTGACAAAAAAATTTAAACATATTTTAATAATGTTAAGGAATGTAAGCTCAATACTGAAGCACTACACCGTGATCTATTAAGAGCACACTTTGCCCCTCTTTGTCACCCTCTTGGATCTCGAATTAAAAATCTTATAGGATAACTACATTGTAAAAAGCAATATCTCCTTGAAGTTCACGCTTCTACGACTATCGATCTAGTATGTGCGTCCACCGATCAGTTTGTCAGGACAAATCCATAAAAATATAAAATATTACTGAGGTTCTCCTGCTCGTCTTTTTTTTGCACCTAAAAGCTACGAAAAAAACGTGCGTATGAATCTGTAAACTGTATTCATTTCTTTGCCAGGCTTTACAAAGGATTGATGAAAGAAAAGAGAGTAAACGAGGCAATTAAATTTTCACTTAGTTATCAGACAAGCGCAGAGGGATTCTGTTGCAATTAGCCGAGTGTTTGCACTGCTGGTCAGCAGGCAACTGGTCATGCATATTGTTTGATGAACGGACGAGACCATTCGGTATTCGTTTACATAACATTTCATTCCGATGTCCAATGTACCACAGTTTTCTATTCCTTCAGTTTTCAAAACACGCGACGCTATTGAAACTTGTGTGGATTTTTTTTTTGAATTTTACAGAATCGTATAGCTGCTTGCTAAAAGTGATTGATTTCTACGTTTTTTGTTGACTATACGGTGTAGGTATAAATATTTAAGACAAAAAGTATTAGTAGGTACATATTAAGTGGTTTTTTGATGTTAGACTAATATCTGCTCTACGGAAACAAAAATATTTTGTCGCCCTAGTGCTTATTTGTCCTATTGACCAAATTTATAGAAAATTAACTTTAAATACCGTATTGTAAGACTTAAATTTTACACCTGTTCGTTAAGGAAGCTTTAAAACTACGTCGTAACAAGTGTTGAGTGTTCTATATCCACTAAATGGACCAATCACAGGTCACAAAGTCATGTCCGCCATTTTGTATGCTTTGATACCGTAGCTGGCGATTTCACAAGGGACGCTGGAAATATTGATAAAATAATTTAATTTACTGCGTTATGTGCTTAGATATTTTTAGACAAGTACCTAATTATATCTGGAACATATTACATAAGTAAAAATGAACAGACGCAAGCTCTAATTGAAGAGTGAGTACTTTTTAAGTTACCCTCAAGTCCGTTATGATTTTGAAAGAGAATGTTGTTTATTTTGTTTTTTAGGTCTAGATTTAACTAGCTGTTCGCAAATGTTCACAAAAAATATTTTTTCTATCTCCATACAACATCTGTAAAATAAGGTAAATTTAGTTACCATCAGCAGATGAAAATAATAACAATCAATGCCATGGTAACTTATGTATTGAAAAAGACTTTCTAATCTTGAAACTATGGCTTTTATTTTCAATAGAGCAAAAACAAAACTTCGTCCTGTAAAAAACAACCAATGGTAGATAGGACAAATAAGCACTTAAGCGACGATAATAAAAGGACTTGATATTTTGTTTCTCAAAAACATCCCAAATTCTGTTGAAAATAAATAGGAAAACATCGTGTCTAGTCTTGATAAATATAAACGTATAAGGAGTTTCATCCTTATATGAGCGTCTGAGGGGCAGACGGGAGGCGGCGGAGATGCGAGTGATGCAGCATGCAATCTCTCCACAATGGCATCGCGGCTGACTGTCGCGTGCCGGCTCTTTGTTCCCTCACCTCAGCTCACATATTACTTTTCGCAGAGCATTTTGAGAGAAAATTGAATTGTAACATAGTTTCATGAACAGATCAATGCTGTTTAAGTTTGTAGAGATATAACGGAAAACACTGAATGGGTTCAATTTTATAGTTTTATCTTGTCTCGAAGAAGTTTCAATTAGATATTATTGTATTTTCGGATAAAGGGTTACACAAATATTTTATTTGTATATATAAGATTATATTTAAAACGATAAGATGTAAGTATTTTATGAGAAGATTTTTTAAGGATCTTGTTCATAAATTTCGAACTACTTACGTTCTAAGTCAAATTTTAAAGACATAAATTTACACCTAGTGTAATAATATTTGATTATATTCTGACCTCCATAATTTGAAGCCATGTATAAAGTTAAAAAAAAATGTGGCTAAGAAGTGATAGAAAATATAAACATGGTCAAAATTTATATTTTCAAATAATAGGTATACTGGAATATGCAAATTCTATAATTAAGCCCGTTCAAGTGTGTGTAACACCCAACCTCATTTATCAGGGTGCTACCGCGCACGTTGAGATATAGAGGGGTGTCAATATGCAAACAAAGGCACCTCATATGAGGCTTCATCGCTACAACTTTGTTTGATCTCATACCGACGAGAACATCGATCTCTAATGTCTTAGAGTTAGTTTATTTGAAACGTCAAGGGGTTTTATTTATTTATTTATCTTTATTAGCAAACTAACAGCAAGTGTTAAGAAGTTTTATATAGCCAATAACAGGTTTCCCTAAATAACTTACGTTTTGTTAGATTGGTTTCTCTCTATTACGTATTGTTGTCTGACGTCGGTTTTGGAAGTCATGGCAATTGAGCCTTAAGGTATACCAATGAAGTAATCTAAAATTAGATGATGAAACGTAAAGAACAATGGCAGAAACATACATACAAATTTACTCACAGTAAACTTAATAAATATTTTTTCACCACCGTGTGTTGTATAAGATAGGAGATAGGATATTTTTGAAGAACTAATTTGACCTAAGTACGTAATGTCTGATGTATTCGCCATCACGTATAACTCTGACCTGCAGGGATGCATGATGGCATTATAATATTATGGAACGTTTTATCGATAATAAATTTTTAACCTTAACCGATAATAACCTTTTATGAATTTGCTTCCGTCCACGGCTTCACTCGTACGGTAGTGTGACTAATACAAGATAATTATAAATAATTTGGAATATTAGTCTTTCTAACGATTTTTGCTACACCAAATAAATAGAATATAATTACGATAGTTTGCGACGAAAGAAAAGCAATATACCTACTGTACAGAATAATGTAAAAAAACATTGTCGATGATAACGGCACATAATTAGACATACATCGATATTTTCAAAATGTCAATACGTCGTCGTTTGGATCCTGTCGAATTCCGCACTCACCAGTTGT